AGATGTTAAACAGCATTGGGGAGATGATCGACCCCTGTGGAACCCCACAATTGAGATTCCACGGGGCCGAGACATTCTCCCCAATCTGCACTCTCTGGGGGCGGTCCTCCAGGAAGGAGCGGAGCCAGGCAAGTGCGAGGCCACCAACTCCCAACTCGGAGAGCCTCCCCAGGAGGATACCGTGGTCGACGGTATCAAAGGCAGCTGAGATGTCGAGGAGGACCAACAAGGACACATTGCCCCCATCGGCCTCCCTCAACAGGTCATCCAGCAGTGCGACCAGTGCCGTCTCTGTACCATAGCGCGGCCTGAAGCCCGACTGAAATGGGTCTAGAGCATTGGTTTCGTCTAAGAGCGCCTGAAGCTGGTCTGCCACCACCCTCTCAACCACTTTGCTGAGGAAGGACACACTGGCGACGGGCCTATAATTGCCAATTTCATCCGCCGCCAGATTTGGTTTCTTCCTGATGGGCCTAATGAGTGTCTCCTTGAGGGCAAGGGGTACCTTGCCCTCCTGGAGAGACCCATTAATTATTGCAGTGGCCCATTCAGTTGTTACCGGCCTGGCTGCTTTGATTAGCCAGGCCGGGCAAAAGTCGAGAGAAGAGGAGGTGGCCCGACAGCGATCAAGCGCCTTGTCTACCAGCTCTGATGTTACAGGCTGAAAAGAATCGAGAATTACCGGGCAGGACGGAGCGCTGGACATCTCTGCTCGATCCATTGTATTTGAAAAAGGCGAAAGGTCACGGCGGATGGCCTCCACTTTAGATTTAAAAAACGCTGCAAATTGGTCAGGTGAGATGATAGAAGGAGGCCCTTCACCCTGGCCAATTCCGGATAGACCGCGAACTATACGGAAAAATTCCATCTGCCGGTTGGATGCAAGGATATGTATGGCAACAGAACACAAGTAAAATTTAATGCCTCAAAAATATTATAACAAAGTAAAAATAAGAAGTAAAACTCAGAAAGTTCACTGGGGAAAAATCCTCACCATATTATGGCAACAATTATTTAAATGTAAATTCAACTGTCAGACCAAACTGGAATGAACCTAGTAACAGAACTACTGTTGCTCAGTGTAGCAAGTTATACTAGAGTAGACCTACTGAAGCAGTGGAGATTTGGTGAGTCAACTACTCCATAAATCCCACTGATTCAAATGGGCCTAATCTAGCTGCAACTAGAGTACTGCATCAATTCTCATTTGAATCAATAAAAATTACAGAGCTGACTCACCAAATCCTTGCAGCAAGACATTCAATTGGCCTGCTCTAGTTGCAATAAAGAACAGGACTTCAATCACAGAATTAGTGGGATTTACATAGGTGTCAATTCAATAAGTCCTACTAATTAACAACTGTATTTATTGCTCCAAAATTACTGTAATTATTATTTTTTGCTTTTTAAATAATAATGAATTTTCATGCATTCCTAAATTACTTTTGCTTTACCTGCATATGTACAAACAAATGTTCCTTTGTCAATGTCATCAAGGCAACGGACACCCCAGCCCTTTTTTCAGTGTTGAAGACCTGCAGCCGAACTTGGAGGCCATGCTGGACTACTCTGTTCTGGCACATAATCTTGTCACAGCTGCATAACAGGTTGCACTCATAAATTCTGTTACATAAAAAAAATATTTTTTTGCAGATTACAGGTGAAGAGAACAAATAAGACTGTGCAATATCCTCAGGTGTCTGGGAAACGTATGGAAAAAGTACAGTCATTATACTTTTGCAAGATATCACTATTACATATCTGAGTATTCAAAAAAGGAAGGAATTCAATTATGACCTGGAGAAAAGCAGGAAGTAAAGGGTCCTGACAATGAAGAAGAAACAGTACATTATGAAGGTAAGGAAATTCAGATGAGCGCACACCTAATGCCGATCAGCTTTCCTAGGAAGAATATATTTAAATATACTCCTAGAAAGAATATATTTAAATTTTAAGGCTATTAAAAAGACAAGAATTGATGGTGGAAGAAGAGGTCTTCCATCACCACTTCTGTTTGTTTTTCCGTATATGTTTCATAGTATTCTAGGATGTTTAATATTATTCTTATATTGTTTGTCATCTGTCTTTTTGGTTAAAAAAAAACCCAATTGATCTTGGTGGATTATTTGGATTAACCTGGTTGAAAAATGCAAGTAGATAAATAGGTGCCACCACAGTGGGAAGGTAACAGCGTTCCATGTCTAGTTGCACTGGCCACGTGACCACGGAAACTCTCTTCAGACAAAATGCTGGCTCTATGGCTCGGAAACGGCGATGAGCACCGCCCCCTAGAGTCGAACACGACTGGACTAAATGTCAAGGGGAACCTTTACCTTTACCTTACTGAATGAAGGATGCAGTGCAATCACTAAACAAAGCCTAACTATAAGAACAAACTTAGGATTCCTTACCCATTGGAAATAGGTCCATTTAGCCTTCTATAATTATAACCAAGACATGTTTCTTTTCCTGAAGCTTCACGGCAGCTCCTCTCAGTAAGAAGCAGGCATGCACATTTTGTCCTAAAAAGCATACAATAATCTAATGGAAATAAGGATATGCAATAAAGCAACATGGCCTATTTATTGTATACACATTAGTTTGACTACAAAATTTTCAGGATAAACTATTTTATTTAGTAATTTTCCAAGACATTTAACTTGGAGTTTTGGCATACTGAACAGATTTACAAATAACAAAGGAATTATTTTCAGTTTAGTTATTAAGTTTTTCAACATACATTGCAATTCTAAATTTATTTCTATGTGATAGGTTTGATAGCACTCTGCTCATTACAAAATGGACATCTTTTAAAAGCAAATCCTTGATTCAGTAAATTCTAAATACTTACGTATCAGTGCAGCCATCTGTGCAGCTGCATGAGTCAAGAAACATGGTGGAAAAGTTGTTTAAGAAGTATCCATGGGGCCAGGAGGACTTCCGATATTTGAAATAAGGCAGTTGCTCATGGTTTATTTCATTACAAAGAGAAACTGGTACAGTCTCTGCCCCTTTGCTGATATCAAAATCAAATAAAAATGCTTGACGACGAGGATTGTTTCTAAAAACCTGCACATAGGTATTGAAAGAAAAATGATCTAAAAATAAGAAGGTGCATTCTGTCTGAAACAAATAATTTTGAACTTCTCTGAAATTTCTCAGACTCTTTCCACAAGGAGTCTTGTATATCACATCATGTGACTTTGACATAGAATCTGCTTTTGCATGCCATCTCTGGAAGTGATGCAGTAATGGTAGATTAAGAGGGTTTTCATCCTTGTAGGAGTCCCATGGTCTTTTGGAAAGACAGTCTTTAGAACAAGTGTGATCCTCATAGCAGAATTTTAAAGATTTCGCTGTTCTTTCACCTTTATTTCTAGAATTCATTACCTCTGTCATTTCCATTTTTCTGTTGAAAATTGTACATGCAAAAGTAAAAGCAAAACATTAAAGCAACCAATATGTGATGATTTCTTCAATGACACAGCCATTCAAATAACTCATGCTACAACATTTGTATGCAAAAAGCCTCAGATGTTTGGGCATTTGCTGTTAGCTTTATTCCATCAAGGAAGGGACCTTCCTCTAACACCCTGCCTGAAATACTGTTAAAACTGGCACAGCATAAAATTATGCCTGCGGAAGTGCACTGTGCATTACACCCAGGCAGCCATTATCACACAATCTGACAAATGCAATCAACCTAGCAGTTCACATTGTAACCTTGCAGTTGCATAACACATCTGTGGAAATGCTTCATGAATAGCACTTCCTCCTACAGTGATTCTTCTACTAATTCTGCGGCTCTGTATTACACATGCGTAGCTATGCAACAGGATTTCAGCCATGACAACAGGAAATGCATACATTAAACTCAGGTCTTGACACAGCTGAATCTGCAAGTTAGTTTAAAAGAAACTAAAAGTCTGTAAAAAATTTTAGAACATGAATACATTATTTTAAGCATTTGTCACAAATAGAGATGGGCACCAACCTTGGTTCACATATTTGTGTTGGTGCAGCACCATTGAAGCCACGTGTTCCCTTCCCCGACCCCCTGGCTGGCTCCCCCAGTCACCATCCAGTGCACATTGCTCTTTGTGCTATCATGCAGACTCAGCAGGAATTCATGCTTCCCTACTTCTCCTCCTCCAGTAGTCGCCCACTCAGATGATGAGGTGGGGCAGGGATTACTGCAGTGCTGCCTCAGAGTATGGTGCCACACTGATGAACTGGCAGGAACCTGCAAACCAAGGTTCATGCCCATCTTGGCAAAAGTCAAACTAACAGGAACTATTTTTGATCTTATAAGAAATATATTCACATATTGATGCTTTTCTCCTCGCTGGTGTATACAGGGATACATCAAACTGTAAAATTCAGCCTAAAACAGATACAGTGGTGCCCCGCAAGACGATGTTAATCTGTTCCATTGAAATTGCTGTGTAGCGAAAACATCGTCTTGCGAAAAGTGTTTCCCCATTGGAATGCATTGAAATCCATTTAATGCGTTCCAATGGGGAAAATAGTCATCATTTTGCGAAACTCGCCCATAGGGAAGCCATTTTGCGAAGCTCCAATCAGCTGTTTAAATCGTTGTCTTGCAAAGTATCGGTCCCAAAAAACTCGTTTTGCAAAGATTGCCCATAGGGAAGCCATTTTGCGAAGCCGTCGATCAGCTGTTAAAACCATCGTCTTGCAAAGCATCGGTCCCGAAAAAAACAAAAAAGTCTTGCGAAGCACGGACCGAAACATCGTCCAGTGAAAATTGCCCATAGTAAATACTGTTTTGCGAAGCACAATGACGATCTCAAAACCTCATCGTCATGCGGATTCGTCATTTTGCGGGGTAATAGTCTTGCGAGGTACCACTGTACTGATTATGAAGAACTGGTTTGTTTTTTTAAGTGATCTACACATTCTAACAATTTTTAAAATTAAAAAAATTCAGTGGTCTACCAATTCTTTTTCTAGTGCTAACAATGGCAGTCACTGGCTAAAGAACTTTAAAATCAGTGAGAATGAAGAAGATAAGAGAGATAAATTTTTACAATTTAAGAGAGAGGCGAAGCAGGTGGAGGGAACAGTCCAGAAGAATGAGAGAGGAGTGCAAGACAGGCAAACAGAAAGAATGAATGGATAGAGGAGGGGCCAAAAAGGCAAGATGGCCAGATGTTAATAACTCTTCTCTGGAACCTTCAATTAAATAAAAACACACAGCAACCTGTTGAAAGAAGTTCAGACCACAACTGAATATCTCTTGAAGACTGACAAGGTGGGAGAAAAGGAAGTGACAGCTACTAATTAGCTGGCAGACACTCAACAGTTCGAGCTGGCAGAGGAAAGAGAAATAAGAGATTAGATTAATTAGATTAAATGTCTGGGCAAGAGGAGTAGGGTATTTTCTTTTGGATTGTGGAAAAAGATTAGAGAATGATCCTCCCTCTTGCAGGAATCTGCTTCTGGCAGAAAATGTGTGGAGCTAAGAAGTGAGAAAATGAAAAACTATACACATTTTAATTGCTTCGGAAGTGAGAGAAATATGTTGAATTTTAAAAAAGCACCAAGACAAAAATTTTGTTCCTCTTAAAACAGATAAAGATTGCTGCTTGAGACATCAAATGCTCAGAGATTTAAAAACAAGATAAGAAAGGAGGTGAAAGAGGAGGACCTGCTAAATGCTTCTGGTTTCAACAAACTATAGAGAGCAACGGGGTGTGTGTGTGTGTCTCCATCTGCTACATATAAGACCATAACAGGTGGAAGGCTAAAAGGACTACGTTTTTATTTTGTTAATATAGTGTCAATGATTTAAAGGTATACACATTGGCTGATTGATGTCAAAACTGAAAAGTAAAAGCCTAGAGGCAGTCTGGTGGAGGAAGAAACCCTCAGATTGAAGGCTACAAAGATTTCAACAAGATCAAGACATGGATAAAAAATCACTGCAGAAAGAAAAATATCTATCATAATATTCTCAAATTATGGCTGAATTGAATAATAATATGTGATATAGGTCCTATCAAAGTAGTGGTGGATGAAACTTCAAAATATATTTAAAAGAGGCATGAGAGATTGAATAACTATGGAAAAATACTAAGCCATTTGAAGGGATGTCAGGCAAAATTAAAGAGACAGTTGAGGCAAATTCTCTGAAATTATACAATCAAGATAAAGCATAAACAAAGTAAATATACTTACTCAGGAGCAGAAACCAGCACCAGGCAGTCCGAAGCCTCCTCCAATGCACACTCTCTAACCGTTGGGGCGAAAGAACTATAAAGAAGCGCTTCGCCAACCAACCGTTAGGACCTACATTTGAATTCCTCGCCTTTTTTCCCTGCCTCTTTTCTTTTTGCAAGTCGAAGCTCCGGCCACAAGTTGAAGCAACATTTTGTGGCCAGAGCTGCTCGCAACTCGAAATGGTCATATGTTGGGACGGTCGGAAACCGAGGCACCACTGTATTACAACATGTAATAAGAAAATAACATGGAGTAATATACAGTTACAAGAGGTATATGAAATAGGAGAGTTACAAGAAACTTGATATAAAGAAAAAAGTTAAAGGAATAATTAAAAAGATCTGAAATTCTTCTATAAAGAATGTATTAGAAACTTGGAATAAATGGAGACAAGTATTTTGTCCTGGAATAACTCCAGTAGTGGAGCTGGAGAGCTTTCCAAGATACGGGATAAAGGAAATGAAAAATATGTTAAAAGAAAACAGATATATAAATGGGAAGATTCTGAATGAAAAAAAATGAAAAATAAGAAACAATTAAGAACTATATTCACAGGAGAAAAATTAAATTGGTTAAATTTAATGCAATTTGAATAATGGATGAAACAGTGAGATATTTAGATTAACAGATAGGAAATTGACAACATTTGAAAAAACGATTATGAATAATATGGAGAATGTGAAAGATGAAAGGACGGACAAAGGAAGAATAAGTACAGTGGTGCCTCGCATAGCGAGGTTAATCCGTTCCGGATTAACCTTCGCTATGCGAAAACATCGCTAAACGGGACTAAAAAAGCCATAGAAACGCATTGAACTTCGTTCAATGCGTTCCTATGGCTTGAAAACTCACCGTTAAGCGATGTTGTCCCATAGCGCCGCCATTTTCGCGCCCTCGGTAAGCGAGGGCAGGGCGCGAGAATGCGGCGCGGACCTTCCGGCGGCCATTTTGGAACCGCTGATCAGCTGTTCTCCCCCGCTTCGTTTTGCGAAGATCGCTAAGCGAATCGCTTAGCGATCATCGCAAAGCGAAAAATCGCCATAGGGGCCATCGCTGAGCGAATGCTCCAGCGATGGCCCGGACCCCCTCGCTATGCGAATTCATAGCATAGCGAAGCACTCGCTAAGCGAGGCACCACTGTATATTGTACAGATGTTTATGGAAGAAGAAGAGGATCAGTTAGAAGGCTAAAATACAATATGGGATACAGATGTTGGGAGCACAGATCGAAGACTGGAAGAAAATTTTAAAAACGATTTTTTAAAAAAATATGTCAATTAGAATAAAAGAAAATGGAGATCGTACTTAACTCCAGTAAAACTAAATACTATAAATGATAAATACAGTGGTACCTCGCAGGACTAACGCCTCGCTGGATGAAAAACTCGCAAGACGAAAGCTTTTTGCTATCGTGTTGGTGACTCGCAAGATGGCTTCTTCTATGGCTGTGCTTCACAAGACAATTTTTTTCGCAAGACCGATGCCTTGCAAGACGAAAATAATTTGTTCATATTGCGAGGTTTCCCATAGGAATACATTGTAATGCATTCCTATGGGAAACCGCCTAGAGTGGTCCTCTCGGACCAGATAGGCGGGGTATAAATCAAATAAATAAATAAATAAACCGCTTTTCGCAAGATAACAATTTCGCAAGATGGCACTACTCGCAGAACGAATTACTTTTGTCTTGCAAGGCACCATTGTATTCTAAGAAATGTTGGATATGTGATAAAGAATTGGGAACATACTTGCATCTATGATGAAACTGTGAAGTGGTACAAAAGATATGGTGTAAAGTTTTTGAAGAGATTAGAGAAATATTGGAAGTTAATTTTGAAATGTAATCAAAAATAGCATTATTGTTTTTAATAGAAAACAATGATGTAAATAATGTAAAAAAAGAGATAACAGCAGCTCAACTGCTCATTGCAAAAACAAAGCAAAATTGGGTCTTCCATTAATAGCATAATGAAATTTGGAATACTGCAATTAAAGATAAATTGACTTTGTAAGTTCAAAAATGGAGAGTTAAAGACAACTAGATTTAATGAGATATGGGATGAATTTATAAATGTTGTATTGAGTAAAGAGTAAGGGAAAAAGCAGAACAAAGATTATATGCATTTTTGGAAGGGATATGGGCACAGTTAAGTGATGGATTGAAGTTCAGGTATAAAGAGATTTAAAAATTATGTAAGATATGATGGTCCCCAGGGTGCAGGGAGCACTACATTTTTCTGTTATTATTGTTTGTACATAGTTTGCGTGGATAGAATGTAAACTTTATGTTGTATTTGATTAATCTGTTTAGTTTTAAAAAATTTATAAAGAATTAAAAATAATAAAAAAGAAAGAGTAAATGAGCAAAGCAGAAATAAGCAGTGATGAGGAAAAGTGCAAGTCCTGATTTCAAACGCAGCCAGCTCCTGACTAGAGGGCTATACTTTCTTACATTATTTCTAATTTACAGTCCATCCCTCTGAAGAAAAAAGGCAGGATTAAAATTATGTAATTTTTTATACAGTCTTCTACTCACAAAGAAGTAACATCCCCAGGACTTTCTTCCATTTTACTTGAGGCAGAAGAATGTAAACCTTGTTCATACATGGCTGTTTGTTCTTCAGCGACAACACTTACTTTACAGAGGGAAATGCAAGCTTCAGTATCATACAACGACAACTGTTAAACATCCTACAGATACAGTCTATCAAAAATACAAGTATAAACAAACACAAATTACCCAAATGCTTTTAAATGGATGATGCTAACATTGCATTAGTGATCCTTATTGCCCACCTGATAAAAGTATTCTGTATTCAACATATATAAGAAAAAAATAAAAATAAAAGTGGTTGTTGTGGGTTTTCCAGGCTGTTTAGCTGTGTTCTTAAGATTTTACTTCCTAACGTTTTGCCAGTCTGTGGCCAGCATCTTCAGAGGACAGGAGTCAGAACTCTGTCTGTGCTCTGTTGCAGTTTGTTGGATAGTTGAGTATTTATTGCTGTGGGAAAAGCTTTTGTCCTTTTAAGGAGATTGGGTGATTATGGTGATCAGTGTGTTTTTGTTGTGGGTGTATTGTTGTGATAAGGGGGAGAGATTATCTGTCACTGTGATTGATGGGTGTCGTTAGCTGGTCTTTTGTGTGCAGTGATCACTGGTCCTTGTGGCTGGGGAGAGGTTGTTGACCTTTTGCAGGCTGTATTTTTCAGTGCTGGAAGCCAGGCTTTGTTGAGTTTTAAACTTTCTTCTTTTTTGTTGAAGCTCTGCTGGTACAGCTGGCAGTTTCACAAAGCTTTTTATGGCCTTACCCCAAAGTAATTTTAGTTGAGTAACTGGATTTTCTTTTTGTGCCTGTGAACTTGTTCCGCCATCTATTATTACCGTATTCTGGATCTATAATTTTTCAACCATTATTATCCTTTTTGTATTAATTATTTTATATTTAGAGATTATGATGATATTTATTTATTTATTTATTTATTTATTTATTTATTTATTTATTTATTTATTTATTTATTTATTTATCTATCTATCTATTTATTTATTTATTTATTTATACAGTCATGCCATCTTCTTCCAGTTGCTGCACAATGCTGCACAATAGTCAAGGGCGGGTTTCACTTAACTAGGCCTTATTTTTGGGGTAGGGTTTATATTACAAGCATCCTGAAAAATCATACTAGGGCTTGTTTTCAGTTAGGTCTTATTTTCCAGGAAACAGGTTATTTAATTTATATCCCCCCCCCATTTAGACCAAAGTCTACTCTGGGCGGCTAAAAACAATATTAAAGTAAAATAAAACAACAATATTAATAGGATGATGAAATAAGTTAGGTATCGACAGGAGGGAAGGCTTGTCTGAAGAGCCAGGTCTTACGCTGGCTGTTTAAAACATCCAGTGAGGGAACAAGACAAATTTCTGGGGGAAGATTGTTCCAGAGCCGAGGGGCCACTGCCGAGAAGGCTCACTTTCTTGTTCTCTCTCTTCAGGCCTCCCCCGGCATTAGGCCCCTCAGCCGCCCCTCCTGGCTAGAGCGAGTGATTTGGGTAGATCTAGGTAGGAGAAAGCGTTCCGCCATATATTGAGGTCCTAAAACATTTAGGGCTTTACAGTGGTGCCTCGCTTAGCGATCGCTCTGTTTTACGATGAAATCGCTTAGCGACGCATTTTTTGCGATCGCTTTGCGATGTTTCCTATGGGTGAATTTCGCTTTGCAATGATCGCAGGGAAGCAATCATCGCAAAGCGTCCATTTTCGCACAGCTGATCGGCAGTTTCAAAATGGCCGCCGGGTAAACAAAATGGCCCCCCACTGTGTTTTCGCACAGATTCCTCACTTTAGAGGCACTGAAAATGGCGGCGCTATGGAGGATCTTCGCTTAAAGGTGAGTTTTAAGCGCACAGGAACGCATTAATAGCATTTTAATGCATTTCTATGGGCTTTTTAATATCGCATAGCGACGTTTTCATTCTGCAGCGATTTCTGCGGAATGAATTAACGTCGCTCTGCGAGGCACCACTATATATGTAATCATTAATACTTTGAAATGAATGTGGAAACGAACAGGTAGCCAATGCAAGGCCGCCAGAGTGGGGGAGATAGGTTGATGTTTTCTCACCCCAGTGAGAATTCTGGCTACCGTGTTCTGAACCATTTGAAGCTTCCGCATCAATCTCAATGGTAGCCCCATGTAGAGCACATTACAGTAGTCTAATCTTGAGACTATAAGCGCATGGACCAGAGTGGTGAGGGCCCCAACATCAAGACAGGGATGCAGCTGGGCGATCCGCCAAGATGGAAGTACTGTAGGCGATGCGGACCACTGACATTACCTGGATTTCCATGGTAAGCGCAAGATCAAGATGTATCCCCAAGCTGCGAAACTCAGTGGTAAGAGTCACCCCCCCCCCAAATGAGAGTTTCCCAAACCACCAATGTCTGGGCCACCCCCCCTCAGGACCTCCATCTTGTCCAGGTTCAGTCTCAGACCATTCACCTGCATCCATCCCAGTACGGCAACCAGACCGTGCTGAAGGGATGGAATGGCTGTGATGATATGGGTTATATGGTTGAGATCTTGTACTGAAGATGGATTATGTAGTAGTGAACAATGTAAGAGGGATTCCATATTGGTTCTCTGCATAAATGATTTCTGCAATGCTAACAAAGTATCTGCTAGTAGGAGGATGGGAGAATGCTCTTCTGAAGGCCTGAGAAGAACATTCCACAATAAGATAGATGGACTTTGTTGTGGCTTATTGCAGACCACCAAACCCAAATAACATCTGTTACCCATGGGAAAAGAATGGAGCAGAAAAACAGGACTGTTTACCCAACGTTGTACCGTGATTGGATGACACCGTGAGAAGAGGAAGATAAGGGATATGCCAGCTAAGCTTGAAAAAGGAACTTTTGCTTATGGACATGGTGGTAGAGAGGGGACAGTATGGCTTAGTATGATCAGTACAATTTGGATTAGTTTTTAGAGAGATGTGATTATTAGC